TAGCTCGTTAAATTACAATAAAGCCTCGTGCAGTTTGCAGCAAGCTCTCGAATCTGCCTGGTGATTGGGGTGACCGCGAACCTGGCCTGAGACCCCAGATACTTGAGTTTTCGGGGGTCTAACAGTATCATCTGAAGACAATCCACACTGTAAAAACAGATCCATCTTCCTTCCCATTCCTCTGAACAATTATGTGGAAGACACAACTTCAAGGAAGAATGTTTTGCATTTGTGTATGTTTCTAGGGGATTAGAATCCATAAAGGCATATGCTTGTTGTTGCCAGTGACCCTGCTTGGACACTCCTTGAGGGAGGGGATGAGAAGATGCAGCACCAATGACACAGGCACTGGGAGTCAGTGAGTAGCAGAACATGCTCCAGGCCCCATTGGCTCAGGTGGCTGATTCTGCTGTGTTGTCCTTTCTTCATTGGTGTCTCTTTATAACCAGTCTCTGGGCATAGAGGCAGGATTGGCTCAGAGAGGATCTCATGCAGGCTGGCCTGGGGACCTGGGCAGGGGTGACTGTGGCTTGTGTAGGCTGGCCAGCAGTTTCTCCTACAGCTTGTGGTGTGGCTTATCATATCTTAGCATGAAGGGACCAGCTCCCCATTTCCGAAACCATACAACCGAACATGTACTTGCCTGACCTTGTCTCGGTCACTAGGAGGTCAGATGCCTGCCCCTTTCGGCAGCCATGACAGTAACATGTGCTTGTCTGACCTTGCCTTGGTCACTAGGTCAGATGCCTGCCTCATGGCAAGGAACCAATCAGAAGTTAGCTGGTGGTGCTATGCTTTACGGCTCTGGGTATGCTTTTCAGACAAGTGCACAGCAATGATGCGCAGAGCATAGCAACCACCCTGGGAGGGCCTATGGGCCATAACAACTAGTTGACCAATCAACACAGGGCAAACCTTTCAAGCCTGGAGGCACACCAATCCTGAGCCTGTGTGTACCCCTAGATACTCCCTTTACGCTGCCCTACAAGATCTCTCGGCAGTGGCTTTGAAGCAACTTTCCTAGCCATCCACCATGGTGGATGGATGAAAGACCCGAACTAACATGGGGTTAGCTTGTTAAATAACTACAATAAAGCCTCGTTCAGTTTGCATCAAGCTTTTGGCTCCACATGGTGATTGGGGTCCTGGGCAGAGATCCTGGGGGCCTGAGCCTCCAGGGGTCTTTCAGGCAGATCTGGGAACAGCTAGATAGAACTGGAGGAAAATGTCACATTCAAAGCCACTTTTACAACCACTAAACAAGCATCATATCCCAAAGTTTCATGGTCTCCCAAAACAGAGTCTCTAGGTGAGGCCCAGCTGTTCATAGATGTGCAGTTGTGGGAGACATTTCAAAGTTGAACCATAAGATCCTACATTTATAGCTTGCATCATTTGGTAAGTAGTTCATGAACTTCAGTAATGATTTGATCCTTGAACTCAATTCTGATCTTATTAGTTAAAGTGACCTAATTCCAAGCTAAAACTTGTCTGACCAAATTTGATCAATTGGTGTCTAAATTGACCAGTGATGGGTTTACATAAAATAGAAAAGAAAAATTGCTGATGTGCATTAAAAAGCACACATTCGTGGAGTGAGAGGTGGTTCCATCCTTAAGAGAACTTCTTGCTCTCCTGCACACCTGAGTTTGGTTTACAGCACCTAAGTCATGTGGCTAACAACCACCTGTAAACTCCAGCTCTAGGAATCTAATACCTGCTTCTGGCTTCCATGGAGACTCTACTCAAGTGTGTACACACACACACACACACACACACACACACACACAGAGAGAGAGAGAGAGAGAGAGAGAGAGAGAGAGAGACATTCATGTACACACCAATGATGTTTTAGTCATTAGTACACACATTTACATGGCTTTCCTATTGGTTCATATGATCTCTCCTCTGTATTTTACATATTCAGAAACTTATACTTTTTAAAGAAAAGAATATTATACTTCTCTCTAGGACATGGAAAGACAGAAACATGGTAAAATGTTCCATACTAGTAAAAATGTATTTTATTAATAAAAATATGTGTACATAGTATAAGATAGAAACACACACACACACACACACACACACACACACACACACACACACACAGGTACGTGCTGAGCACATGCCTTATGTAAAGCATTTGCAGGGACAAGCAAAAGGATCCTTGTGAGGATGTACTGTTCTTGTCTCCAGTTCTGTACATTTTTCACCCTTTTGTGACACAGCTTCAAATAACTTGCTAAGCAAGTCAGATGGTGTTAATCAAGATTCATTAGAAGCTGATAAAGATCTGAATGAAAGGGGTTTATTGGAAGTTGCACTTAGGAACAATGCCTGTGAGGAAACCAGGGAAAATCACGATCTGCTTCATTTATCACATAGATGTCAGCCAAACCCTTGGGGAGCTCTGGAGCAAGAATCTCCCCTTGAAATTTCAAAAGGACACAAGGTTGTAGGGACTTTGTAGCCCCATTTGGGGTGTTCAGATAAGAAATGCTACCACAGAGAGTGTGACTTTTATGGGGAGCATGTCCTTTTGGTCTAGGGTAAGTGCCAGAATGAGAGCAGCTGTGGGCATTGAGCTAGCTCTCCTAGACTTGTGGTAGGCAAGAGAATGAATAAATCACTTCTGAAATTTAATTCTACCCAGCAAAGCAGGATACCAATTTAGAGTGAACTCTTACTTGGAATCATATGCTTTGTGTAATAATTTTATCCTATCTATATCCAGCTTCTCATAACTCTTGCTCTTCTCATTTACAAATAAATTAGTGTATTGGTGTCCTAGTTAGATTTTTGTCAATGTGACACAAGCAAGTGTTATCTGGTAAGAAGAAACTCAATTGAGAAATACCTCCATTGGGGTGTTGTCTTGATTAATGATTAATACAAGGAAACCTAGCCTATTGTGATGCACCACCCCTGGTCAGGTGGTACTGAGTCGTATAAGAATATGGGTTGAGCAAGTTGTGGAGGGCAAGCCAGTAAACAACATTCCTCCATGGCCCCTGCTTTGGTTGCTGCCTTAGGGTTTGTGGTGATATTTTGTTTGTGCTTTAACAAATAAAGCTTGCCCTTATTTGAAAAGCAGAGAAGCAGAGCATCCAGCTACTAATTCTTACCTCTACTGAATCCTTAGACCAAAGGGGCAAGCCTGTCCTTATGAATCCTCAAACTGAATGCTGTCTCTACGAAACCTCAGACTGAATTCACTGAACCCCTGTCTCCTCACTACTGCCATAGCCACATCACTCCTGTCTTTGCCTCCTTAGTGCTCAGATTAAAGGCATGTAGCTCCTAAGTAACTGAGATTAAAGGTGTGAGCCACCACCTCCTGTTCAGTTTGTCTTTTAGACAGGCTCAATCTCATGTAGCCCAGGGTGGCCTTGAACTCACAGAGTTCCACCTGCCTCTGCCTTTCAAGTGCTGGGATTAAAGATGTATGCTCCCACTGCCTGACCTTGATGGCTAACTAGTGGCTAGCTGAGCACTCTGATCTTCAGGCAAGATTTATTTGTTAAAGCACAACAGAATATTATCACAAGGGTTCCTGCTTAATTTCCTGCCCTGACTTACCTCAATGATTAGTGAGGTGTAAGTGCAAGCCAAAGAAACACTTTCTTTCCCAAGTTGCATTTCGTCAAGGTTGTTATCACAGCAGTAGAAAGCAAATTAAGTTGGTAAAGGGAACTTTAACTTTGCTATTATGGCTATACTGGAGAAGCTTTGGGTGCTCCTTTTTAGCCTCCTACCTTACTTTCTTCACTCATGTCAAGCACCTGCACTTTTCTGGGTAACTGACTTAGAGGAAGCATCCATTCTCTGAGAATTTGATCCTCTAAATTTTCTGGGGGATAGGCAGTATCCAACAAGATACAGAGCCAGCTTTCCCTGGGCCTTAAATGGGCAGGGTCAGCTCAGCATGGCTCTCTGATTTCATCACACATGGTTCCTATGCCACCTGAGGTGACAAGGGTCACAGACATCAATATAGATCCCAGCTGCAGCTGGACCACAGACCCAGGCATGCCACTAGCAGCAGCTTGGACCTGGCCAATATCCTGGCTCTGGGTAGAAGGACTGGCTACTCAGATCAGGATGTCTCTGTAGGCAGCATGACCCCCAGATACTACCAAGGCCTCAGGTTCCACCACAACTCAGGCTTCTAGGCAACCTTTTGGGGCAATGGGGGACGTAGAATTTAGCACAGACCCCAGCTGCGGTAAGACCACTGACCCAGACACGGTCCTCTGCAGCAGCCTGGTCTGGATGTCAACATCGCCCCAGGTGGCAGTACAGGCCACTCAGAGATGCATGGCCCTGGCTACATCATGTCCCTCAGAAACCAACATAGACTTGGGTGTCTGACCTGACCCTGGGCATCCACATGGTCCTCAATGTCAGCAAGAGTCAGACACATCAACCTAGACCTTGGCTGCTATAAGACCATGGACCCAGACATGGTCCTTGACAGTAGCGTGGGCCTGGATGACAACATAGCCCTAGGTGGCAACACAGGCCACCCACATTTGAATGGTCCTAGCTGCAGCATTGTCCTCAGACTCCAGCAAGGCCACAGCTTGCAGCCTAGATCATGGACCATCATGTGGGTCCTAGTGGCAACCTGGATCACAGACTTCAACCCATACCATAGCTGCAGCTGGACCATGGACCCAGACTTGGCTCTAGGTATCATATCAGCCTGGTTGGCATCCTGGCTCCAGGTGGAAGCACTGCCACTCAAATCAGGATGGCTTTGGAAGCAACATGGTCGCCAGACATCAAGAAGGACATGGGCTGCAGTCCAGACCTCAGGCTTCATGTGGCCTTTGGTGGCAACATGGGCCATGAATTTCAACATAGACCTCTGCTCTAGTAGGACTATGGACCCAGACATGGTTCTCAACAGCAGCCCAGATTTGGATGTCACCATGGCCTCAGGTGGTGGTAAAGGTCATCCAATTGGTATGGTTCCAGTAACAGCATGATCCTTGGACACTATCAAGGCTCCAAGGCAGCCTAGACCACTGGAATCAGCATGGCTCTTGGAGGCAGCAGGTTGTTTTATTTCTTTAACCTACTTTTACTCCATTAAAACTTTGCTTTGCATATTCTATTGCTTCACTCAGCAAAAACTTATGTGTCTCCACATATAGTTCTTATGCTGTATTTCATTATGTATAATATAGAATTAATTGTGTGTTAAAGAGTTTAATTGCTAAGTTCTTTGTGAAACTGGGCAAGTACAAAGAAGTGATTTTAAGATGGGCGATGGTAACATACAACTTTAATCCCAGAACTTGGGAGACAGAGGCAGGTAGATCTTTGTGGGTCCAAGGTCAGCCTGGTCTACAGAGTGAGCTCCAGGACAGGCTCCGATGCTATAGAGAAATCCTGTCACACACACAAAAACAAAACAAACCAAAAAACTTTGCTTTGCCAACCTCTGCCTTAAGCTGGTTGTCCAAAAAAATCTAAAATGAGGGAGCAAGTGTCCTGTGAGTCCCCTAAGTCATTCTCATTATTTGAATAGTACCTTTAATTAACTTCAAATATCCCCCTCTTACTTTATGTGCATTGCTGTGCATCATACAGCGGGGAAGGAAGGATTTATTGCTCTTCCTTTTGAATGTGAGCTAACCTTGGGATTGACTTTTACCAATAAACATAGCCAAGTAAAGATTTTGATTTTATCTCAGGTTTTAAGTCAATGAGGTGGTTTGACATTCTGCCTTTTGTTAAGCCAGACTCTGAGAAGCCAAAATGATATGGATGCTATGTATGAAGGAAAACTAAGGCGTCTTGATCACAAATTTGAGCTGAAAGTTATGTTCATAGTCAACATACCTGCTGACTATAAAAGCTGCATGGGGCAGACTCACCTAATTGAGTCTTTAGGTAATTGAAATTCTAAACAGTATCATGTAGAGTAGAATTACAAAAGGAGTCAGAAAGCATTATGAATAGTCAAACAATTATCACTCAAAGTAATTAAATATGGATCTATTTATTATGCAGAAATAACATGAAAACTGAAGCTAAGATGCCACTAATGTTATGGATGAAGACGTACCTAGCGTTGGTAATGTGGAAAGGGGGCTATACATGCTACAGAGAAAAAAAGTAGCCATCAATTTTACCCAGCCATGAATCTCCCCAGCTATGATAATGGCCTACCTGCAAGATAGAGCCACTGGTGGAATAGCAGTATAAATATTACAGGAGTACTCAAGCATATTTTGACTGGATTTACGGATCACTCCAGAGATGTAACCCATACCTGATACTGTTACTAAGTCCAAGCACCTGAAACCAGAAAAGTCATGGGAGCAGGGGAAACCAACTAATAATAATCTCCTAAATGAGCATAGCAATAAGATGACTACTAACAACACATTGCTATACCCATCAGGGCATCGCTCAGTCCTCATCAGAGAAACTTCTTCAAGTAGATGACAATTAACACAGACTCAAAACCATACATCACACCGAGAGTGAGAGATTCATAGTGCTCAGGCCTAAATGGGTTATCTTTGTCACATGCTTCTCAAGGAATCCCTTCAGAAGAGGGGGGCAGAACAATTTTCAGAGCCAAAGGAGGCAGACAACTTCAAGGAAACATTTCTCGAACACGGCAGGGATGGTGCACAACAGGACAGATGAACTTACAGAAACTGGTAGCATGCCTACAACGGTTACAAGCTCACACCACACAACAGCCCCAGCAAGGAGGAGGGGTAGTGGGCTCAAGGTTCACTCCTAATTAATAAACTGTTCACAACTGTTAGCTACTTGAAGAGGAAGTAAACTTGCAAGTTTACTAGGGGGAAGTACCTAGGGAGAAGGGTAATAGTACCTTGCCTATGCTATCTCTATGAAGGGGTTCTATGGGAGCTCCCTAACTATAACAACTGTAGTTTTGTCTAGAGGCTTGTGCTTTCTCTTACCTAGACAGCAGAACTTTCTCTAGTTCAGTGTCAAACCACCTTCATTTAGCTTCCCCAGTCTTCCTAAGCTTGCTGTTTTAACCTAACACCAGTAGCCTAACTTCAAGCTTGTGACATTAGATTTGTTTTTAACAGCACTGAGGAGACACTAGTGGGAGCTCAGGAGCCAAAGACCACACAACAGTGACCCTTGAAGGAGTTCTGTAGTGTTTGTCCCACTGGCAACTGTGGTAACAGGGGTTTTGGACTTGAGGTGCCAATGCTGGTGTAAAAGTATTTTTCTAGACAGGGATGTGAAAAGAGAAGCTGGCCTTCAACACGCTCATGACAAAATATAGAAAGAAACAAATAGACTATAGATGGAATTATTCATTTTCAGGAAGACTTCAGGAGAAATTGATGATTACTGGGCTAGAAATAAAAGCAAATTGTCCTTCCATTCATTCAACACAAAAAAGATACCCCCCCACACACACATAGATTAAAAACAAGAGGCAAATTACAAATCCATGACTCTACTAGTAAAAGATAGCCTTGAAGTTAATTGGTTCTAAATGAAAATCTGAATCCATTTAGTCGTGTGCAAAGTATGGTAGTCTTTACCAGATAGACAGTAATAGTCTTCTCATCTAATTTGACTAATGTAATTATTGGTTTTATTCTCTAGGTACAGATTATTAGGCTAAACACTTAGTATTTTGAAGCAAGTATAGAAAGCACAATCCTTTTAAATATAATTTTTGTAAAGACTCTTACTTAAGTCATTACATAGAATAGCAAAACAGCACTTATAATAATTTGAATGTATTATAATCATGAACATAGGCTACCCTTGCAGGCTTAAAATGAAAGAAAGCAGTCAATAGACAATTGCCATAGTAGAGAAACAGTGTGGTATGAGGAACTCAGCTTGGAACTTCCTACCCTAGGCACAGATTTGACATGATTTACAAGTCATGGAAATTGGACCAAAATTTATTAATGATTTTGTCTTAGAACCCACATCACAACTCATAATATTTTTAAAGATAGCTTTGACATCTATGAGCACTGAATTTGCAATATAAAACTCTATTTCGTTCCCAAACAGAGGATTCCAATTTAATCACTGATTTCCTTTTTAAAGAATTTGAGGTAATAAATTTAATTTCCTTTAATTAGGTTTTCACCCGTAGCCATATTATTAGGCAATTATCTCGGACAAAATAATTTATTCTCACCTTAAATAATAATGAAAGTTTCTATTACTTATCCCATTGCCTTTTTGCTTAAGCTATTTCTTTAGAGAAAGAGAAGGCCTTGGTGAATATGAAATAGTAGTCAGTAGGCTTCGGCAATATATCATGAATTCAAAAAGCAAAATTAATTGAAAAAACACAAGGCAGTTTTAATTAAATGGATAAGGGTGTCTTCTCACAAACCTGAAGTCATGGTTATACTCCCCTGTGCATCTTCTTCATCTGGCAGATCCTCAGGTCAAAGATGGAGGTGTAAGTCTAAGACTCTGAAGCTTCAGTGGTACCTAGTCAAGGAAGGCTCTTCTCCCTTTTGTTGCATTCTGAGCATCTTAATGCTTAACAGCGGAAAGCTCATTATGTCACTCCCTTGGTCTCGAATTCATGATTGACTCAATGTGGGAGATGTTGAACTATCACTTGTTTCTCAGTGTCCATCATTGGGTTTCAGGAA